GATTTTGAAATTGCAGAACAGGAAAAAGAACTACCCAGCAATGTGATTGAAAATAATCTACGAATATTGAAAGGAAATCTTAAAAAAAGCAAAGCAGAATACGCCAAAGCTTTACGAAAGAAAGTAGGAAACGTTAAATCCTCAGAACTCTCATGGCGCGATCCACTTGCAAGTCAGATTCTCAGTAATGAATCGGAGATGGTTAAGCAATTGCAAGAAAATGAGTACAAGTCTTTCATGGTAAGTACGAAATATATCTCGATTTAGTTTATGCGCTAAAAAATATCATTATATGATTAAAGGTTGAAATATATATATATATATTATTAGGAACCAGTGGAATATATGCAAATACCCCTCCCTCACTCAATAAAAATAACATGCGATGAATTTTTAACAAACTATGATGACGGTTCTATGGAGATACCTTCACAAAAGCTTTCGTATAAAAATTGGAGGGAGAAGGAAGAAGTTCTTAGGGATATTACGCTTAGAATACTTGACACTTTGTATGATAATAAATCTATACAATATTAATCCATTCATAATTTTTTATACAATACTGACATTTTTATACTATAGGAAGGAGATCTGGAAAAATCCAGCTTTTAGTTACAAATTTGCTAAAACACAAAGCGAGGGAACATACATAGCAGATGTTATTATCCCTGTTATTCGAGCGACATTAAAAGATCTCCCAATCGGAAAATCTGCATATATTAGCACGTGAGATACTCTTATTTCTTTTTCTATTATTTTTTTTTATTTATATTTTTTACATTACAGGGCAGAACGTCAAAGCTTGGCCAGCAAAGACAGAAGAGGAAAAAACGGAAAGCGTCCAGACATTATGTTCATAGCGAAACATATGAAAAGAATTTATGAAATAATGTTCGCTGAATGTTCCCGCATTGTTTGTAACGATGTAAAAAAAGATGATGATAGAGTAAAATTGTGGCGGGAACTTAATGATGGCATATATTGGATGAATAGGGGTTGTAAATTAGACGAAAAAAATGAGTTCGGAATTCTTGGATTCCAAGTTGCTGGGCAAAAGTTCAACCTGTACGTTCTTATCCGAGATCATGAAGATATAAGCCGTCTTTATCTTTTAAGATCAGTGATTATTCCAACACAATATACGGATGATAGTGAAGCTATATATGAGTTTATAAAGACTTTGTTGTTATTGCGAGTAAGTATTTGTTTATATTATACATTTATTCCGCAATATTTATCCAACTTTTTTTTAATTTACAGAGAATCTTAATTGTTGATTTGTCTTTGCTATTTAATTCTAAACCTAACGAAAGCGATGAAGATAGTTCGACGGTATCCTCTCCACTTAACTAACGATTAACCTATGTTTTTTTTTTATCCTTTATTTTTTCTATATCAATAAAGTGACCCAGGTGGTCGAGATTTATAC